TCAGCTGAACCGGTGAGCAGTGACCCTCCAGGGCCGAGTTTGGGGAACCCTGCTATATGGGCTTCAGACAATCGCCACACGTAATTTTACGTAGTTAATTCTCACATAATCTGAAATCCAAATTGAATCTAGAGCAAGAGAGTGCTTGCGAGACAGATCAGACTGTGCTCCAAACTGTGGAGAATGAATGACAGAATTTTCTTTTTTGGGTGAACTATCCCTTTTATAGGCTGACAAGTTTCATTTATAGGGTTGTTTAATACTTTTAAATGAATTGCACATGAACTTGTCTGTGTTCCTCTCAGCTGATCCAGGTGGATTCAATGAAAGGTGACCTGAGGGGTGTGGATTATGAGTCCACAGATGAGGAGGATGAAGAAGTGGAGGAGGAGAGAGTTGTGGTGCCCGACACTAACAAGAAAGGGTAACATTTTAAAATCTCGACTGTTCTTTCAACACTCTCACAACATTGAATTTGTTGTATGCTGCTGCTGCTGAATGTGTTTTGGTTTGAATCCTTAGATGGTGATTCTGTGCTTGTTTCTCTGCAGAGCTAAGAAGGGTGGTTTTGGGGGAATGTTTGGGATGCTGAAAGGCCTGGTGGGATCTAAGAACCTGACTCAGGAGGACATGGAGCCAGTTCTGGACAAGATGAGGGACCACCTTATTGGTATGACATCGCTCTTGCTCCATGGCACCTCATTCAAAACACTTGTTTACAATTTTTTTTTAATGAAATTGTGACAGGGTTTCTTTAGCCATGGACAAACTGGAAATATTGAGATGGTGTTTTCCTGGCCTGGAAAAGTCATTGCAATGAATGAGTCAGAGACATTTTGATTTTGACTTAACATATTTCTAGTTGGATTTCTACTAACATATTTAATTATATGAAGGTGTGCTAGGGAAATCGTGTAAAAGATTACAGAAAAACAGTGTAAAAATGTTAACTAGAATAAATAGAAATAAAAGGATTCAATTAAAGGGTAAAAATGAAGTAGGAGGAAGTAAAAATGTGGGTAATACAGGTTGAAAAGGGCAGAAAATTTGTGATAAAATATGATTAAAGTTAATAAATTTGATGGAATAAAAACCTCTTTAAATAAAAAAAATATTTCATAGATATTAAATACATCCAAAAAAAACTGTACTATAGGTGAAGTTTAATAATTATTTGAGTTAAATAAAAATATGTATTAAATACTTAAATAAAATGTATATTAATGAATACATCCAATACAGAGCTATAGGTAGAAAAAGGTGAAACAAAATGTGTTTAAATAAAATTAATTTTAAAAAAATTTAATGAATAATAAATGAAGACATCTACAAGTACAGGTAGAATATAGGTTGAAAAGGTAGAAAAGAAATAGCAATAACAGTACCGTACTATTGGTAGAAAAATCTGATTTAAATTAATAAAAAATAATATAAATAGATATTGATACAAGTAAATAAAAATACATAATAAAATTCAAATGTGAGTAAAATAAATAACATTTGATTTAAACAAATAAAAATAAAATTTGATTTAAAAAAATTATACATCGAACAGTACAGTAACATAGGTAGACAAAAGCATAATAAAAATGTAGTTACAATAAATAATTTAAAGGTGCACTTTGTAACTTATGGCATCTCCAGTGATTAATAAACAAAATTGCATGAATAAAGCCAGTAAATTGTACATAATTACATGCAACTAACCCTGTCTGTAACAAGGACAGCTTAAATTTAAATATAACCCAAGCCTACATTTATAACTGGATCAAGCTAGCTGCAATTTGAATTTTGTCTCTTGTTCTTCTAGCCAAGAATGTAGCAGCTGAAATATCCTCCCAGCTCTGTGAGTCTGTGGCCAAGAAACTGGAAGGCAAAGTCATGGGCACTTTCACCAGTGAGTAAAACAGACACACACACACACACTTGCTGAACAGCCCGTGCAAACAAAAGCCTTCCCACAGACATGTGCGCGTTCTCACGCCAGCACCTCGAGTGCATGTCTCTTCTCTTGTTTTCTGGTCTTCCTGTTGTTAATGTTCCTCTTCTGTCTCTTGTCCAGCTGTGGCCTCTACAGTAAAGCAGGCTCTACAGGACTCTCTGGTGCAGATCCTGCAGCCCAAGCGGCGTGTGGACATCCTGAGGGACGTGCTGGACGCTCGATCTCAGCGCAAACCCTTCGTCATCACCTTCTGTGGGGTCAACGGCGTCGGCAAGTCCACCAACCTCGCCAAGGTGAAGTTAAATAAAAAAAACGCGCTAGTAGAAATTTAAAGTCTGGAATACCTGGAAAGCTTTTGTTAAAGTGCTATTTAAATGTGAGAAATTATTATTCATTTGTTTTATTATTAATATATTGTCAGCATTGTCATAACTCCAGTCTTCAGTGTCACATGATGCTTATATTTGTATTAACAAAAATGGTAAAACTTTACAATAAGGTTTCATTAGTTAGTTCATGTTAGCTAATGTTAAGAATGAACAATACTTCTACAGGATTAATGTTAATTTCAACATTTACTAATATATTATTAAAATCAAAGTTTGTATCAGTTAACATTAGTTACTACTTTGAATTAACATGAACAAACAATGAATGACTGTTTTTATTAACTAACATTAACAAAGATTAATAAATACGGTAACAAATGTATTGATCATTGTTAGTTCATGTTATTTGGTTAATTAACTAATGAACCTTATTGTAAAGTGTTACCACAAATAAATAAATTATATATATATATATGAAGAGTTCAGATGCAAAAGCCTCTAAGTGCCATTTGAAATTTTCTTCTAGAATGATCATTTTTATCAAGCTTGTATAATTAAGTTCAGTGATTTCACTTAAATTGCAATGATAATTACCTATTAATTGTTATTTAAGTGAAATTACTGAACTTAAATATACAAGTTTGATAAAAATCATCATTAAAGAAGAAAATTTCAAATGGCATTTAGAGGCTTTTGCATCTGAACTCTTCATATATATATATATTATTGGTTATAAAATAACTGCTTAATATTTTTGTAGAAACCTTTTTTTTTTTACCTAACCCTAATAAACAGGATTTATTTTAAAAAGTCTTGCACCATTACTCATGTCTTTACTGACAATTTAATGCATCCTTGCGGAATAGCAGTATTAATTAATTAATTGTTTTATTTTTAATAGTAGTGCATCACAATTTCGCAAAAACATCTTCAATATTGCTAATAATAAAAAAATGTTTCTTCAGCAGTAAATCAGCATATTGAATCAAATCTAACGGTCATGTGACTATTTCCTCTTTTGTACAGATCTCTTATTGGCTGATTGAGAACGGCTTCTCTGTGCTCATCGCGGCATGTGACACGTTCCGCGCGGGTGCGGTGGAGCAGCTGAGGACTCACCAGCGGCGTCTGAACGCTCTGCACCCGCCGGAGAAGCACGCGGGACGCCCCGCCGTACAGCTCTTCGAGAAGGGTTACGGCAAGGACGCCGCTGGGATCGCCATGGAAGCTATCGCCTTTGGTAAAATCCACGTGATTTTAATGAAAGAAATGAAACCTTTCCATGGACTCGCTGGTTAACGCATCTCTCTTTCTCCAGCTCGTAACCAGGGTTTTGATGTGGTGTTGATCGATACAGCCGGCCGTATGCAGGACAACAAGCCTCTGATGACGGCTCTGGCGAAGCTGATCGCGGTCAACACCCCGGACCTGGTCCTGTTTGTGGGAGAAGCTCTGGTGGGCAATGAAGCTGTGGATCAGCTGGTAGGTGTAATGCCAGATATAGCCTATAGGTGGCTCTGCTTTATAGAGTGGTGCAGGTATGACATCACTTTGTATGCCAGTTAGCATTCTAGCACTTTTGGTTACCTTGTCCTGAAGTCAATGGGTGTTTTGAATGGAGTTTTGGTTAAATGGTTGGGTTGGTGCTCTTATGAACTATTGTAATGGGAAAATGTGTTGATAACTGAGAGTTGTCGGAAGCCTAGCGAAGGGGACCGTGATGTAGTTTGTTCATAGCCTACCTTTAGCTTTTTACTTCTGGCAACTGCATTTAGGCTTCAAAATTCATAAAAGGGTTAACAGCTCCCTGGAGGAGGATTTCCGTGAATTATGACTTAAATTATGCTTTTATTATGTTAGAAATGTTGTTGTTGTTGTTTTTTTATAGAAATTGTTAACACAACGTGTGTGTGTGTGTGTATATGTATATATATATATATATATATAATATTATAATTTTTGTTTAGAATTTTATAATTTTATAAATTAATTTATAAAATATAATTTTTATTAAAAAAATATTTTTTATTTTTTTATGATCTTATATTAATTAAAAATATTTATGTTATTATATATATTTTAATTTTATATTAAAATTATTGTTTTTTATTTTATATTAATTAAAACAATTTTATTTTATATTAATTAAAATGATAAATTTTGTATTTTCTATTTGTATTTTTCTAATTTTTTTCTTAGTTTTATTCATTTTAGTACATCTAGTTTAACTAAATAAAAATGGGAAATTTTATTTTAAGTGAGAACATTTCATTCTAATTGTAAAAAAAATATTTAGCAATATTGCTTTTATAGTATTTTTAATCAAATAAATAAACCTCGAAAGATTCCACATGGCAACTTGCATGTATAATAATGCTATTGATAGCCTTTAATAATTCATTAAATTAAGGAAAAGTAAAAGCAGGATAATTCAACCAAGAACAAACAGTAACCCATTTTTAGGTCATCCTGATCCGTTCTGTTTTTATTGGATCCACTTAAATGTGGGAAATCGATGTCAGAAACCAGTCCTGACGTTCATAACACATATTTCAGATCAGTCTGTAATGCATGTTTTGTAGGTGAAATTTAATCAAGCCCTGGCTGATCATTCCAAGACTGACAAACCCAGGCTTATCGACGGCATTGTTCTCACCAAGTTCGACACCATCGACGACAAGGTATATGACTATTTGAATCCTCACGTTTTACGTTCTTGTGGAATGAACCTTGTTTAAGAACTTCCCGTGTGTCCTGCAGGTGGGCGCTGCCATCTCCATGACCTACATCACGGGTCAGCCCATCGTGTTTGTCGGCACCGGGCAGACGTACAGCGATCTGCGCAGCCTCAACGCCAGGGCTGTGGTCAGCGCGCTCATGAAGGCCTGAGCTACAGCTTCCTGTGAATGCAGACAAGCCTATGTGTCGTTTTGGTTTACTACAGGTTTAACTGAAATTCAGTTTATATTTAGGAGCCCTCTTGTGTTTTGTTCCAGGAAAAAGAAAAGTGTTTTGATTAAGTTTAATGAGTGGAAGAAATAACATTTGACTTGATCTCGCCTCAGCAACCGTTTTTGATTGACATGCAACACAGCCAATCAGAGAGCAGCAGCTCCAAACGCTCATTTAGGTCGTTTCATTCAAGATGAGAATGAGATGAGGAAAGTATTTTTGCACTTTTCTGCCTCTCTTCGCTACGATCAAGTGTTCTCATGCGCACTTCCCCGCAAGAGAAAAAATGTTATAAAAGAAATCTAATATATTCTAAATGTATTTTGTCTACTTTTTATTTGATTTAATGTAGGTACATTCAGAAGATGGCCAGCCACCCCAAACGGTCTCAAGAATTCATTACCATAGTGCCTCAGCTCATTACATTCGCAGTTCCCAAAAACTGCCTTTCTCATTCTTCCTTTTTTACTCAGGCATTTCATGTCACTTGATATGAAAGTTATTAAAAGTTATTGAAAGATTTGGTGCTTAAGGTTTAAAGGCCTTTACACCTCAACAAAGAGAGAATGCTGCGTATACCAAACTATCTGAACCCCTACAAAGTTACATTTGTATCGAGTCGTTAGTAACCGTACTGTCATTTTCTTTTCTTTCAGATCCCTTCATGCTTTTATTTTAGAACAAAATCAGGTTTTAATTCTCCTCATAATAATTTGCGCTAGCACAATGGCAAGACTGGAGAGCTTCATCGGGAAGATTTGTCGTACTTTAAGAATGTGTAATATTTCTTAAATAAAGCTGCTATAATAGCCTGTAATAAGACCTGTTTTGTTTGTTTGGTTAGCTGCTGGGAATTTGTTTCCTGCACAAAACTGGTCTGTTCACCACATCATTTTGAAAGAAATGAGACAAATAGACATGCCTGTTGCATTGCAAAAACAAACGTGATGGTGTTATTCCCTGAATCATAACTTTTATAGGCCGGGTCTTATGAATCAGTCAAAAAGAATCTCAAATTACCGGTTTAAATCCATATATACATGACGTCATGAATATGAAGGAAGTTTTATGCATGTTTGTGACAACTGTAATTAAGTGTCATTCGCTCAATTATGACATTTTAATGCAAATATGACATTGTTTGAGATGTTTTATGGCACTTTGACAAACCAATGCATCATAACCTGTCAGTGTTTTTTTTTTTTTTCTTGATAACTTGACATTACTAAGACAACTCAACCTGTCATAAACATGACAGCAGATTAATGATCAAACTTAAGAAACCACCTAGCTTTACTGGTTAACATTACATTAAACTGTCAGGTGGTTGCTTTTGACATTGGCTGTCATGAAGCCATTATCACTCTTTAATGACAGATTCAATTAGTACCACTGTAGTTGAGGTCATAAAACATATTCAAGAGTCAAGACACAGTTATAATGACCTCATGACAGCCAATGTCAAAACCAACCACATGACAGTTTAACTTCATTTAATGTCAGGTTGTCATGACAAAGACACTGACAGGTTATGATGTACTGGTTTATGTCAAAACAAAGACATCTCAAACAATGTCATATTTGCATTCAAAATGTCATTATTGAGCGAATTACACTTAATGACAGTTGTCATAAACCCTCCTACTGTACATGTTCAAGACATGTCCTGTCATGGTTATGAAGGCGTCGTAAGTGTTTCCCATATTTCAAATAAAACTTTCGTCAGGAGTTGTAGGAAGGTTCTCTCTCACCATATTGTGCTATGCAAAAGTATGCCTATTTCATCCACTGCCATAGATAACCAACTAAAAGAAAGTTACACATGGACACACCCACTCGTAGTGTTAAAAATAAGATGGATGGATGTAATTCGTTGTTTCTATTTGCTTTCAGTAATGACAACACATTTGGTACCAAACAGATGTTTTATTTGAAAATAGCATATAAATACCTAAGACGTGTGGACAGAGACGCTTAAACAGCGGTCCACTGGAGTTAAAATACAAAAAGTTTATCAACAACGGTTTCCTTTTTTTTTTTATGCATTACTGGCCAAGCATTTAAGACTATAAATGGGAACTAACTTTCGAAGTGCAATAAAATGTGCTGAAAGTTGTGTGGCTTGAGAGGAATGATGGCATTATGTCATTCTCCTCAGTCTCGTGATAAGTTCAAGTAGATTCATGGAAGCTGAAATACAGATTTAGTTGTAAAAGAAATGCCCTGAGTCATATTTCAACCAATTAACATATACACAAACTAGAGGTTAAACATCTGGAATAAAGAGTTTTGTTATGTTTTGGAAAGATTATGCTCGCCAACACAAAAATATGTTTTAATGAAAAATACAGTAAATATTGTGAAAATTAAACATATGTGAACATATTTGAAAATAATTTATTCCTGGCATGCCAAGCTGAATATTCAGCAGTCTTCAGTGTCATATGATCCTTTCCCAAATTGTTATAATATACTCAGTTATTGGTACATAATTATTAATAATAGTTATTATCAATGTTAAAAACTGTGCTGCTTATTTTTGTAAAAACAAAAAAAAAACATACTTTTTCAGAATTCTTTGATGAATAGAAAGTTCAAAATAACAGCATTTATTTGAAATAAAATCTTTTGTAACATAAAGTGTTTACTGTCACTTTTGATCAATTTAATGAATCCTTGCTTAAAGGATCATAATGTAATGATGCTGAAAATTCAGCTTTGCATCACAGGAATAAATTACATTTTTAAATATATTACAATTATGTTCTTTTACATTGTAATAATATTTCATAGTATACTGTATTTTGATAGCATGACTTGAAAAAAACGTAATTATTCCAAACTTTTAACCAGTTGTGTGTACTATATAGTGTGTGTAAGCGTGATGTGTTTTAATTTTATTTCCCTTTTAATTTTGGGATTAAAAATGCCCATTAATGTTTATTTTGTGAGGTTCAGTCACTAATTAAATATTGCTGGTGCATTTGATAATGTGAAAAATTGGAATTGAGAAACCACTTCATTTGACCGCTCATGTTTAAGATCAGACTGGCCCTGAACATCATTCTTGGCCCACACTTCAATTACCACATAAAAAATAAAAAAAATCCACAAATTTCTCCTTCACTCACATGTAGAGTTAAACATTTTCTGAGTAGCAGGAGTTCACAGTTTGCCAGGTGGTGTTTTTACAGACGTCTTTCCCGTGTGAAGCGGACCGGTACTGACGGCGCTCGGTTTAAGTATGAGAAAGGAGTCTGTTGTGCGTGAAGATCTAGTCATGCCAGACCTGTGCGGCGGAGCTGTGGATATGTTCTCAGACTGCCACTTGTGTCACGAGTGTAAGTCTGGGCAGAGAGACAGGAAGAGCTACAATGAAGATCTCATTATTACAACAGAAGCATCAACTGATTTCATCACAGGAAGCCACAGCGCACATGAGCTCAAGAGCAGAAGAGTGCAGGAGAAAAGTGTAGCGAGTTTAAAATGACAGCAGCCCTTGTGCTGCCTTCAGGCCTATGGTTATATCGTTCTAGAAGCATGCATTTAAGGAAAGATAAGGGATAAGGAGGAGAAAAGGTGTCGCCATGCTCCAGTCAAATGCCAAAATTGCCTTAGCATGCAAGCCAGGCAACAACACGAAAGCTGTCCTAACCTTGCAGGAGGTTTTTCTGGGTCGTAAAGCCATTTTGACTCTCTTCGCCTTGTGAGATGGGAGATCCTGAACGAATCGAGCAAATGAATAGGTGAAAACCTCAAACATCGCATATGACGTGTCTTAAAGGGATACTCCACTTTTTTTTGGAAATGGGCTCATTTTACCACTGCCCGAGAGTTAAACATTTGAGTTTTACCGTTTTCGAATGTATTCAGCCGATTTTCTGATATTTAGAAGACTATCAGTAACCAGACAGTTTCTGGTCTCATTGACTTCTATAGTAGGAAAAAAATATACTATGGAAGTCAATGAGACCAGAAACTGTCTGGTTACTGATATTCTTCTAAATATCAAAAAATCGGCTGAATACATTAGAAAACGGTAAAACTCAAATGTTTAACTCTGGGGGAGTTGTAAAATGAGCCCATTTCCAAAAAAAAAAGTGGAGTATCCCTTTAAAAGTGAAGCCCGAGCTTACCCCAACCGTTGGTCACTACGTCCCGGTCCACATCCCGGTTGCAAATCTCGTTGGCCAGCCGCTCGAAGTACTCCGGCAGGTCGGCGTATTCGTTGCCGTACGAGATGACCTTAATGCCTTTGTCCAGCATGTTATCTCGAAGCTTTTTGAATTCGCCCACGTCCTCGCGCCGCACCAGCATGAAGTGCTCAAGGTCAGACTTGTGTTTGACTGCCTCGAGAAACAGTGCCTGGAAGGTGGTGTCGTCCACTGTCCTCCCGCAGCCCAGGAACACAAAAGACTTGGTTTCGTAGAGTTTCTGAATCTCCCTCTGCAAAAACGATATTAGAACTGACGTTATGGAGCGATGGCAGATACAGGATCACTGAGAAATAGCAGACCAAAAAAAAGGTAGTTCTAATTCAAAACAAGTTCATCATGATGATTTCATTTGGTTTTGAAAAACTTTTATAGCATTTTCAAAAAACATGAAATATATCTTTCAAGGCAAAAAGTATTTATTTACATCATGAATTATTAATTCATAATTTTTTAATGACTTTGATTTGGTGGACTTTACACACTAAATAAAATGTAAATGAATTTTAATTCAGAAATTAAAACATGCACATCATAGAAGATGGGTGGGTGTTCAAATTACTATGTATGAATTTTATTTTTCTATGCATTTTTGAATAAATTAATTGATCAGACAAAGAAATGTTACATGATTGACCATCAATATATTATTTTATGCTGCTTTTATCATATAAACTTCATATAATGCTGAAAAAGAGGGCTGCAAGGGTTAACAGGTCACTGGAGGAGTATTTCAGTGAATTATGACTTTAATAATCCATTTATTATGTTGAAAAGTTTTTTTTTTTTTTTAACAGAAATTGATACTTTTATTCAGCAAGGATGCATTAAATATATAATAAGTCTTTACGGTCACTTTTCATCTGTTACTAAAGATTTCTATTTTAAATAAATGTTGTTCTTTTGAACTTTCTTTTCATCAAAGAAACCTGAAAAAAAATGTATCACGGTTTCCAGAGAATATGAAGCAGCACAACTCTGCAACGTTGATAATAATAAGAAATGTTTTGTTGATTAGTAAACCAGTATATCAGAATTAGAGGTGGGCCGTTATCCCTGTTAACATGCTGCGTTAACGTGAGACTCTTATTGAGTGATAAAAAAATAAATAAAAAAAAAAATCGCTGTTAATCTATTCTCAAAGTTGGGTTGGGAGCTGGGTCTATACTACGCAAGCTATGATGACTTTCACCTTGATATTTTAGTGCGGATGTATACCTAGCCAAATTGCACTGATCCAACCCCTCCCACCTTACATATACCTAATCCTACCCATCTCCACCCCCAATCACTAACCCCACCCCTAACCCTACCCATCTCCACCCCCCAATCACTAACTCCACCCCTAACCCTACCCCTACCCAATCACTCCACCCCCAATCACTAACTCCACCCCTAACCCTACCCATCACTCCAACCCCTAATCCTACCCATCTTCGATCACTAACTCCACCCCTAACCCTACCCATCTCCACCCCGACTCTTATCCCCACCCCTAATCCTCCATCTCCACCCCCCCGATCCCTAACTCCACCCCTAATCCTACCCATCTCCACCCCCTGATCCCTACCCCTAATCCTACCCATCTCCACCCCCTGATCCTAACCCACCCCTAATCCTACCCATCTCCACCCCCTGATTCCTAACCCCACCCCTAATCCTACCCATATCCGCCCCCTGACTCCTAACCCCACCCCTAATCCTACCCATCTCCATTCCTTTTATCTGGATCCAACTCCACCCCCTGAATCTCGTGTACTGCAGTGAGGTGTTACTGAGCTAATGCAGAAGATGCCGGGCCAAGCACTGATGTAGCGCAGGGGAAGAGTCGTCGTCAAACTATTTTGTTAGCAATGATACCAATTATCATAATAGAACAGCTTTCTCAAGCAGTTTGTGATGCATTTTGGAAACAGGAGATGACTTGAGAAACCCGTTCTCAAAGACTTACTTTTGGTCATTATTTGGGTAGCACACGTATTCTGAATGCCTTCGTCAGAATTCAATTGAGCCATTTTAATCTAGATTAATTCCATGATTACAGTGAGATTAATCTAGATTTTAAAAAAAATAATCTATGCCCACCATTAATTATAATGCTTTCTGAAGAATCATGTGACATTGAGGAGTGGAGCAGTGCTATTTTAGTATTATTTTGAGATTTATTAAAATGCATTTTCAGTTTTTTTATTTTAACGTTTTAGAAATATTATTGGGGGAGGGGGGTATTATGAAATGTCTGTTTTTGTATTTATTTATTTATTTTTTAGTTTGATCTATTTTAGTACAACTAGTTTAACTAAATACAAATGGGAAATGTTCATTTTAATTTATTTTAAGTGAAACCATTTTTGTTCAAGGACTGGACAAAAGGGAGTATGTCTTCGGACCAGAATGCTTTGGTTCACTGTGTCCTTCACCCCAGTGAATTGTCAACTTCCAGTGGTGTGACTTTATTTTTTCCTAAGAGCAGAAAACATCTACTCACCATGACTTCTGTGTTCCTCAGAACATTCTGGTATCCAGCAGGATGCAGTACAATACCACTGGGGTTGGTGTAAACACCGTGAATATGGAGTACACTTAGTCTTCTCTTCTCCTGAGCCCACTCCAGAACCTGCACACACATGCACACCACAGCATTTCATACTCCACTGATCCCAATCCGGTTCCCACTAGGTCCAGCTGCTTTTAATGACTGTGGGTTCTAATCAAGAGGCATCTGATGGAAAAGGTGCATAAACACCCAGCCTAAAGGCCACACTATGGAAAACCACACACGGCCTGATTAATAAAGACAGAGAACTGAACATGCAGTCACTTGTGTTTCAGAGGGCCCTTCAGGTGAGCTGCTGTAGAGCCTACATGCACTAATGCACTACATGACGCTTGGCTGGGGACCATAAGGCTGATTTTATGGCTAATAGCTGAAGCTTTCACTGCTTTGTGCTGAAGGAAATTTATGGCCAAAAGCAAACAGAGATGAACCCAGTGCCCTGAACATCTGAAGAACATCAATTTACGAATTGAATTCATTATTTTTAGTTTAAACTTAAAGCAACTGATGATCTGATGATAGGTGTTACTCTACAAGTCTTCATGATCTCTTCTCTTCGACTGATTTATCTCTGAGGGGAATTCCACTCTGCGACATAAACAATGCAATTCATAGACTAAATGATTGAGCCCTATATGATGATGTCACATTGCCGATGGACTTTGAGATCCCATTGACCAGTCAAAACTTTTAAGAATTAGAATTACAATTTATATATGTAAAACCAGCATTGGTGAATAAACCTCGAATCTCAATTGGATCCTCAAACTGTCAGTCAAACCTCAAAACTCTACCCACGTGTATCATGAATGAAGTGCCGCACAGCTTTTTCTTTCTCTTTTTTGTATTAGTCTTAGTCTGGTGTTTGCCATCTAGTTGTAGCCAATATACTGTTCTAATTATCCTGTGCATAGCACTTCATCGTTTATATCATGAGATTTTGTCCAAATGTATTCAAACAAAAGAAAAACTGAGCACCCACATACCGGTAGCTACAATAAACTTTATAAACTGTAAGTTGATAATCACATAATCCGATGCACTTACTGCCTCGGATGTGGCCGTTACAATGACAGACAAAATATCTGTCATTCGCTGGTTAAAAACTGAGCTTGACTTTAATAAAATGTTAATATTATATAAATGGCACATGCATGTCTGACCATATATGACGACACAATATCAACTTTGACGTCACAATGTGTTATTAGGTGTAATATGTGTAATAATGTTGTTATTGTGTTATTACTGTCTTTCACGTGACTTTAGACTACTTAAGAACAAAGAGTGTCAAACTTTGATAAAAATGTATTTCTTGATGATTTGATAATTTATAATCTTTTTAAAAGCAAAACATGTGACTAAAAAAAAACCTCTGCCGGCATTTACTGGTTATACTGGTAATTTCATATATTTTAAAATAAAAGTGTTTGTTTGTCACATGTTAGTTTTCCTTCATCTTTTACAAATGGGGACAATCTTTTATTGAGATGGAATTAACATGGATAATATTTACAGCTTTGATTGAAGAGCTGGGAAAAAGTGTGAAGCACTTGAAAAGGCTGATTTGCCATTTCAATCTGCCATTTGAAGTATGCAATTTAGCTATTTTAATGCTTAGTGGTGTGCTGTGAGATTTTTAACTTATCAAAAAAAAAAGTTTAGATTATTAAAGTATCTTTCGCTGATGCTAAATGTATGCATTGACTGAATTCTAATCAAAAAGTTAAAAGTTTAGGAAACATAGTAGGTACCTTCTTCTCATCTGTGAGATCCAAAGACTCCAGCTTGGTCCCTTGATGGGCAGCGTAGATCTCTAACAGGTTGTCAAAGTTGGTGGTGAGGACCAGAGCACCGCTCTCCATCAACTGCAGCACAGAGCGGAGGAGATGCTTCCCAACGTTCTCCATCTTACACTCCAGGTCATCAAACACCTCGTAGAGGCAGTCTTTAAAAAAGGTGGAGCGCACATTTCCCGTCCGCTACAGAAAACACAAGAGGTGAAAAAGAAACATGTGATGTTTGGAAAAACAAAACTACTTCAGGTGTATTTAAATAACTCTTGTTACGTAGCCTGCTTTTAGAAGGGAATTCAACATACACATTATCTTGAAATGACATTGAAATGTGCTTTGAAAAAAAATTGTAGGCAATTAAATAACCTTGATTTGTACATTTTCTGTGGTGGTTCGCCCATGTGAACCTCAAGTATGAATCTCAAAATAAATAGTTCTTCATTCAATACAGTGAGTGACTTCCATTTCAGTCAGTAAAGTGTTAATTAGACACTGTACATGATTTGATTTCAAACACTGGAAAGTGTAGAGAGCGCTGAGAATAGAGTAGTTCTGTCAGCAGTGCCCTTGTCCTGGTCATATCTCATCTCATTACACTGAGCTGAATTCATTCTCTGAGCTTGGCCGAGGCACATGGAAAACCAGAGAGAGAGAGAGAGAGGCAGCTATGAATAGCTTGCAGAATCCACTTTCTCAGGAAGAGGTTAATTATCAGACCCTCCACACCTGCTGTGCACTAATGCCTCTGTTCTTAGAGTTGTAGGTGTCTTTTAACTGTTTACACCTGGTATTAACATCCGCCTCGGTCGTCTGATCGCATGTGGTCAGTGTTAAACAGATGTAAACCACGCAATGAGATTTACAGGGCCCAAGCCAATTTAAATGAACACGTTATGAATTAAAAATGTGTCTTTTTACTTGCGTGTTCTGTGAAGAGTTGCCTATGACTTTACTTGTTGTGTTGTCAAAATGAGACGTTTCAGAGACAAAAATGAATGAAAATGTTGTAAAAGGAGGCAGGGGGACTGAAAGAAGGGTTTTAAAAATGTAAAATGCAAGTTTATTCTTGTCACACCTTAAAAGCTGGCAGCTGTTTAAAGTCTATAGTGCATATTTCATTATTGACAGGAATGAAAATGAGGCTGATGGATAGAAGTAAAGCGTTCAATGGATAGTACTGTTGTTTAAAAACATACAGATTGTTCATTTGATGAAACATCTTTCCAAAAAACTTTCAACAGACAAAAAGCTTTGAAAGTTGTGTTTTTAAAATGACATGTGATCTAGAGTACAGCACATGCCATTATATAGACTGTAAATCTATCCCTCACAGACTTGTATCATTCATGTAAAATTCAATGTTATCTATGGATTTATTTGTCTGGAGCCCTGATTTAGGTAGAAAAATAACAGCATTGAGCAACAAGCACTGAGAAAGTAGGTTAACAATCATATTTGGAAGGTTTTGGACTTATCAACATGCAGTAACTCGATAGTTTGAACCAAAAAAGCAATTTAAATGTCTCAGGCTGGACTTTCATGCACAAACATGTTAATAGGCATCCTCCGACTTGCAGTGAGCATTACAAAGCATGCCTAACTAAAGAAATATATAACGCCAAAGCTGACTGGATTATTGTCTAGCCGTGGCTTGTTGTTCTTGAGCTGTGAACTCCATTTTTACCGCTGAACAGGTAATTTGTTTCATTTTAACTTTCTGCATGATCGGCCCGGACCAGTGAACGGTGGTCAGCCTCGCATCTTTCCAATTCGGTCCGTTTTTTTTTTTTACGAATTTTTCGGTCAGATTTATACGAATGAGTTGGTAACTAAACCCTAAACCAACTTTTTTTAGTTAATGATCTGTAAGAATGGGACATTGGGTATAACGTGTTTTAATTCTACAATATATGATGTAAAAACGTCTTAGTGCTGCCCTCTTCAGGTTGAACGGTGGCTACTGCAGTTGAATTTTCCTATTGGATGTTTGCGGTTCTTCGTGACATACCCAGGTTTCAGCTCACCACGCCCTTGGTACGAGCTACCACGCCCTCGACAGTTAAAAAATCATCTTGTTTCGTCAAAACCACTGCGAGTCAAGAGTGGGAATTACGAGTTTTGAAAACGATCAGGATAGAGTATTGTATAGCATCTATTTAGCGTAGCATTTATATAGTTATTTTAGATTATTTTGTGTAGCCTAGTTAGTTAGTAGCATAGTACAGTTAGGATAGCTTCAAGTTAGCGTAGATTTATCTGTGTTTAGTACAGTGGTCAGGATGGTAACGGAATAGAGGTGGACATGGGTTTCTCCACATAGCTTGCGCTGAAAAGCGACGCGGTGCCAAACACTGCTCCTCCTGCATGGACTCCACCACCGCAGTGGCGTCTTGATATGATTGATCATGTATATTTTAATCACAATTTATGGTTAGGCTAAAGTTAACCAGCACATTTTGCTGGATTTTTTCACATAGCGGCAAAATATCAATATGTCTACAGAGCGCGTGCTATTGACATCAACTCGACAAAACTCATCAGATGCCGATTCTTTATTATTGTAAAGTTATGTTCTTTGAGACATGAGGTAATTTAACGTAGTCTCTTGTGATGCTTTGCAGACTCTGATCTGGCTGTGTGCGTTCATGTGTTTGGGAGGAGGCGTGGCTTTGGAGATGCTCAGTAAGGGAGGGTGGGATCTTATGCTTTCAAAGCTAGCTCGCTATTGCTAGCCTCTCTGAAATGACTTACCCTAGCTTTAACTGCAGAGCATTGCAACTAATGGTGACACAACAAACTGAGCTTGGAAAGATACTGGGATGATGAAAGACTGCAGGCTGATGTTTTTCTAGGAGAGTTGTGTTGTTGTTTTTTTAATGTGGATTGTTCAGCTACAACCATTCCAAACAATAAAAACACCAGCATTGTTGCTGAAATTCATTACCTAACTCCTTTTCACAGGCCTAATGCCATCTAAATCCTCTAGCCACATTGGTGGGTTTGGATGCAATTGATATAGGGGCTTGACAATGAAAAACAGGGATAAATCACTGTGTGCTGTTTTGACGGGTTGACAAAAACAACAACACAGGTGGCACGTGGCTTTACACCTCATTCTAGCCAGAAAGGAACAGACTAATGATGGACACATTTAAAGTTGTGCTCTTCCACGCACTGCCTAGCATTATGCTCATGATCAGAGCTCAACAGTAAAGATTTTTTTCTTTACCCTGCCATATGAAAGAGTTTCACCGCACTCACGGCAAACAAGGTGCCAGACAGATAACACTTGACAACCCCAAAAAATAAATTGTCTGCACACTTGAGTCCTTCAAGCAAAATTTAATGCCAAGCTTTCGGTAATACAACCATCCTCAGGGCATACATTTCTTTACCCCGCCAACATTTTCACTAACCCCTTCACCACAAAAAAAAGTTTGTTTCTTTACAAACTTAATACTAATGTATGGTATAAGCCATAAGATTTTAGGGCTGGGTTGACAATATAGATTAGTCAGTTTTAATCAATCTTCATTTCGACAAACTGATATTGATATGTAAATCCCAAGATCAAGCCATTTAATAATCATAATAAGCTTGGTGCTTTGTAACTTTGGATTAGAAAAAGAGAATGGGTTCAGAAGTTTGCTGAACTTCATACACATCATTCGTCGCTCACATCGTTCGTGGTTCGACTTGTCGAGACTGTTTTCCAAAGATGGCTCCTGTCTGTTTACACGACGTGGACTGTTTTTATAAAGTATCTTCTTATTAAACGGTCTGTACACTTACAAAGTTCTCAATGCTTCGTTTTGCATATAGGGACCCTCATTATGTTACTGTGTTAGTGTGGGGCTATTTTGAACCTTGTTAGTGGTATTAACTAGTGATTTATATTTTTCATTACTCGATGCCCTATATACTAGCGTTTTAGAGGTAAAACTCTTTACATTCGATTATCATTAAAACAAATCTCAGAGAACGATTGACTAGGTACCGATGTGTAATTAGACCAAAGGTTCATTTTGCGCCTTCAAGTTTAACTCTAACTTTTTTTAACTATAAATTTTCTTACCGGTGAAAGTTTCTGAATAAGGTCATGAGCAACGTGCACCAGGTTCTTGTCCTCTTGCAGACTTTTCTGGAAGCGGCGGCTCTCTTCCTCCTCTAGCAGATCAAAGTCATTGGCAGCATCTAGCAGCGCCTGGATAAGACCTTTCCATGAGCGCAGCGCGGGCACCTGAGGAGCTACAGCTGAACTCACCCCAGTGCCGATCACCAGCACCAGCTCAGGGGCACGTTTGGTCTTCAGGCTGGGCAACAACTTCCTATAGTCAGCAGAGATGGAGGAAATGTAATCAGGTCAGAGGATACATGCATATAGATGAAACTACACAGCAGAGCTGTATGCAAATGCACAGACTCCAAAAATAGGAACTAAAAATGAATGAGCCATTTTATTTTTCTATACATTCTCTATGATGTTTCAGCTGTCACTCAGAAGGGACTATTTAATTTGGGATTATTGTGGGTTTGTTGTTACAGATAAAATTATTTATACCATAAAATAAAGAAAATCATCTGTTAAATCATTTGCATAATAGAGTTGAAAGTTTGAGCTTGAGGAATGTAGTTTATTAACAATTTATGTAAAAATAAAAATGAAAGAATTGGAGAAAATCATGCATTAATAGGGTTGCACTCCAAATGTATTGAGTGAGTCAACTGTTGTATAATTTTAAACTGCACAGTGATAGTCAAGATCTCTGAAGAGGGGGATCACATATTTTTCATCTAGACAGTATAGAGAAAGAAATCTCAAATGACCGAGGCACTCCTTAATTAAAATATTTATTTATTGAAAATATTTATTAATTTAAAATATTTATTGAAAAAATTACAAATTTAAGTAGGGGCATGGAGCCTTCTTCTTCATGCCCTGAAGAAGGCTCCATGCCACTGCGCGTGGGCTTTTTAAATTTGTCCGTTCATTTTTTCAATAAAGACATTTTAATTAAGGAGTGCCTCGTCATCAGAGATTTCTTTCTTTATACTATCTAGATGTCCTACCTTGGACCGAAGAGCACCCAAATCAAACTTTTAAAAAGGAATTGAGCACGCCATTTATCTTGAATCTAAACTACATATTTTTGATGTTTAAAAGCGAGTTAGATACCAGTTCATCATCTCACAACTTGATTTGTCAACAACAAACTTGATTTTTAGCTAGAAGTGTCTTGGGCTGCTAGGTCCAACCAACTCTCAACAGCGTTTCTCTGAAATTGCTTACAACACCTTTAACTAATGTAATATCATTAAGTGTAACTGAATATGAAAAAAAAAACTTCCTGGTGAAATCATCCTAATAAGGAAGTTCTTTGGAAAAACATGTTTGTCAGAAGAGGAGAGGCAAACAAGGGCTGACTGTAATGGATGGAGAATATTTGGCTCGCCTTAGGAATGTGCTGGCAACAAAGCAAGACAACAACATCTGTTTTCATACCTGGCCTTCTTAGCCACTGTGTCGCCATCCTCAGAGTCAGGGGAAGGACGCTTCTCTGTCTTCACTGAAACAACAGAGGCCATTCGACTCCTACAAAAAAAAAAAAAAAAAAAAAAGTTGATCCATTTACAAAGCAACAAACATTGACTAAAAGGCTACACTGCTGATAGATATATGATAGATAGATAGATAGATAGATAGATAGACAGACAGACATCAAGTGTTCAGTTAGGTTAACAAAGCTTAATTGTTTTAATTGCCCTTGACATTGAATGAGATTTACTCTCTTCTACCTGGAAGAACAACCAGAGTATTTACATGTTCATGATGTGAGGAACAAAACTGAAGATGCTGCAGGTCTTTGTTGTGCTCACTTCGCTCAAGGACCAGCAGCTCAAATCAAAGCTCCGTTCTTTCTCCGTTTTCTTTTTGTTTTTCATATTCATGTCAGGAAGATTCAACTGTACATGAAAAGCCTAGAAAATCAATCATAACCTACAACAACATACTCTAGCCAAAACCCCAAGATAGCCTCTCTGAGCTAGCAAGCTAACAGGCTAGCTAACGTTACATGTGTGATTTATTTTAGCGGGTAAAAATAGAATTATTAAGTTATATCTGTTTTTTTATTATTATATATTTGACACCAGAATTACGAGTACTAATAACGTAACTCTTATAATACCATGTTTTTTTTAGCTGGTAACTTACGTTTAAATGTGTCTTCAACTAAACGTTCAATCACCTGTTGCTTTTGTTCCATATGTGACACAATACAGATTTAGCATGCAGGCTAAAATTACAAAAATTTCTATATACATTATTTGATATTCAAAACTTTTAAGAAAGTACAATCATTACGTTGAGGAAAGATGGGATAATTGAAAAGGCAAGATTTACCGGTACATGAGTTACGACTAAAATAAATAAATAAATAATTAAACCTAACGAGGACAGCAGTATCCTACTGAAACAAAAAGCATGCCATAAAATGTTCAAACCACTACTTACCGAGGTGAACAGAGAAAAGGAGGATACGAGTATTTAATCTTAAATTTCCTCGAGGACTAAGGACAGACTCTCTTATCTATCTATCGAACAAACGTTAGTGTCTTTCTATAGAGAATCTCAACGACAGTTGGGTATCAGTGCCAGTCTGCCTTCAGAGACAAAAACGCTAAAGGCCTGGCTTTAAAAAGAAAATTCAGGTCAGCCTTCAGCGAAGTACCTGTCAGAGTCTCTTCCTCTGCGGATCCTCGCGACGCGTTCACAAGCTCAGCGTTTACATGTGATGCGCGTGCGTGTGTCTGTGCCTGGGATGTGAGTGAAGGTTTAATCCGCCAGACTGTCACACACGTCATCACTCACGCAGGCAGCCGGTGTCTCCAAAATTATGGTTATTACAGTTAAGTAAAACCATTAAAAAAAAAAAAAAAAACTTTCGTTACATGAAATAAAAGAAACTTTATATAAACTTTATATTAATACATTTTATTTCAGCTACTTGCCAAGGCAACATTTCTCATTTCCATTTAGTTAACTAAAACAGAAATAAAATATATAGAATTTTTCTTTAACTAATAAGAATGACAAAACAAAACAAAAAAGATACTAAAACTTGAACTAAAATTTAAATGAAAACAGAAAAAAATATTTATAATTATAACTAGCCTAAATCAAAACATTTATTAAAACTAATAGTATAATAGTATCTCTATGAAACTAAAATAACTGCTCCAAACCTAATCTAATAAATTAGCAGTTTTCATAAAGTTAATTACTCTTTTTGGGGAGCATTTTAGAAATATTAAATGTTCAGATTTCACATTTGTTTTGCACACGCACTGATTATATAAATAGATAACAACATTTTTTTTTCTTAATCATAAGTCTGCATCTAAATAATTTTCACCATATGCTATTAGTTCTACCTATGGGATAATACTGCATGTCAAAAACAGCATTTAAGTCATTTAAAAAATATAGTCACATTATATTTTAATGCAGTTGTTATAGTGTAATTATACAGAAGTATTATTAACAACATGTACTTACTAGGTTAAGGATTAGGGTTTGGTTTAGGGTTATAGAATGTAATTATGCATAATGTACTGTTAATACTTCCGTAAAGTAGCCTATATGTAAAATATGTTAGGCTACTAAAATTAGTGTTACCATATCAAGTTACTACTCACATAAACTATGCGAGCCGTTAATGTCAATATTGTGTGTGTGTGTATTCTCATTAGTTACTAGTGTTTATTAGCATACATATTACAAGCATATTGGCTGACTTATAAAGCACATATTAATGCCTTATTCTGCATGACCATATTCTACATCCATTAATCCTACCCAATGCCTAAACTTAACAACTACCTTTGTGGGAGCCATTAGTTATTGTTGATGTTGTGGTGGTTGTCTACACTAGAGGGCAGTGTGCTTGTGCTACAGTATCCAAGTTCACGGTGGCACAGGCGCGCCAGCTAATTAATACACAGGTGTAGCGGGTGGGGAATTATGCTAGGGTGGCGGGGAGATCACACGGTTTTTACCGCTGGCACGCCACAGCTAGATTAGTCCTCACGTTTGCATATACTTTGAACTCTGTAAACTATATTTTTTCTATTAAATGGGAACACCACCCAAAGACGCTAAACGTTGTGGACTTTAAATTCATCCGAAGTGGACAAATAGCGCGTCAAAAACAGGATCTAGCCCTCACCCTGCTGAGTGTCTGATTAATGTTAAGACAGTCACTACACAAGTAAAAACCTTGATCTCGTTGAGATGTCCCGGAGGAACAACAAATGAAATCTGGTTTCGTTTGGATACTTTGGAAGTTGGATTAATGTTTGATATCGTTTGGATACGTTGGAAGTTGGACAACAACTGGATTTCGCTGGAATACTTTGGAAGTTGAATAAGCAAATGGATTACTTTATCGAGCCAAAACTGCAGCATGGTAAAGCTATAAACTGGGTCATCCATCGTCAATCCTAAGGTAGGATAAATCTTTTATCATTGACCGGCAAAAGGAAACTTAGACCTTCCTGATAGGTTACGAACTGAAAGACTTTTACATCTGTACAACAATTGACGCAGTATTAATAATATTGCTATATAGGTCACGTATTGCGAGTGTGTTGCCTAGGCAAATGAAAGGCAATAGTCGACATAGCGCAATAACAAAGCCCGTGAATCTTACAAAGTAATCTGTTGAGAATGAGTGACACACAAGGCAATGATAAAAATAAAGTTACAGAGCTGCAACGTGACGGCAGTGAAAAAAGGACAAGAAAACCTACCGCTAAAGGAATCATTATAATAATTGAAAGGCTTCAAAAGGAAAGAAGTATGATTTTTAAAAAAACAAGCAAAATAAAAGCAGACATCGTCCCGTTTCTGGTTTCTGTTGAAAAGGTTCCTGCAAATGTGACAAATGTTCAACAGAAGCTAAAAGGGTTTAAGTCTCTATGTCAAAATGCCTTTGATCTTCACAACACTTTGCTCAATGAGTTTTCTCTGCCTGAAGAGGAACGGAAAAGACAGGAAGAATGGTTTCAGTTAAAAAGGTCTGTTAATGATGCATTCGTTGAGGAAGTGAATAAATGGTTGAAGGAGATGGGAGCTTCATGTGATGATGAAAATGTGAATGATGCCACTGACGTGGATGATGATGTTGATGATGATGATGATGATGATGATGATGGTGATGGCCAGGGTGCACAACGAAAGGTAAAAAATAAAGATGCTCAATCCGTGTGTCAAGATGACATTAGGCCAGGGGACAGTGTGTCTAATGTGTCCAGTCAAAGATCAAGCAAAAGAAGCCATGGCAGTTCCAGTGCATCTTCCGCACGGTTAAAGGCAAAGGCAGAAAGGGCAGCTTTGATGGAGAAGGCTGCTGCTTTACAAAGGAAGCATCAGCTCGAGGAACAAGAGGAGGAACTCCGATTGGAAAGAGTCAAGCTGAGGAAAAGAAAGGAACAGTTGGAACTTGATGCACAAATTGCTATGGCTGCTGCAAGGCTTCAGTACTGGAAGGCAGTGATGTGGAAATGGCTGCATCAGATGGAATGAACTCATATGTGCGTAAGGCACGTAAAGGGCAAAGTCTTGAACTTAATCCAAATGCAAGCATTTATGTTCCTAAACATAGCACAATGGCTACAAAACCAACTTCAAGAGAACCACCTTTGTTTCCTGTGCATGTCGAGCACCCCTTTGCACGTTCACAGACTCACGAACAGCGTCGTGTTATATCATCAGCAAAAGATAGCACTTTTAGACTGCAGTCACAGCCATTCAATGGAACACATGGTACTACTGGCCAACAGCATCAGTTTGAAAATGTTCCTACAACCTTAATAACTGCGCCTGCTGGATCAGTAGCTGCACAAGAACAGCAATTGCACAGGCTTCAGCCAGCACAGAGCACTCCACCAATGCAAAGCACTGTGGACCGGAATGCCATATGTGGAATCTTGCAAAAGCAGAATGAGATTACAGCAATGCTTGTGCAGCAACAAATGTCATCAAGTTGCCACAGAAAGACATTGCCATATTCGATGGGGATCCATTGCAATTTCTTTCATTTGTTAGAGCTTTTGAACACTGTATTGAGCAGAGAACTAGCAGCTATCAAGACTGTCTGTACCTGTTAGAGCAATATACTACAGGGCAGCCCAGAGAGCTGGTTCGAAGTTGCCTACATATGGCATCGCAGCAAGGATATCAAAGAGCAAAAGGTCTTCTGAGAGAGCACTTTGGCAGTGAACAGAAGATAGCAACAGCCTACATGGACAAGGTGTTCGGATGGCCTGTTGTAAAGGCTGAGGATGTTAAGGCATTGCAGGAATTTGCACTTTTCTTAAGAGGCTGCTGCAATGTTATGACTGAGATACAATGTATGGAGGAATTGAACATTCCATCAAATATGAAGAATGTGATAATGAAATGGCCATACAGGCTGCGGGACAGATGGAGATCTATAGCTTGTGAGCTACAAGAACGACGAGGCTATCGAGCCACCTTTCCTGATATGGTGAACTTTCTTGAGACTCAAGTCAAAATCTTGTCTCATCCGCTTTTCGGTGATATTGCAGACACACAATCTAGTGCTTCGAAGGCTATGAATAGTAGAAGGCCAGTGTCCAGGAGTAATATCAAAGGAAGCAGTTTTGCAACTAATATTTTGGCGATGCCAAGCCAGCCCAGTGCTTCGAAGGAGTCAGGCTTAGAATCCTGTCACTATTGTAAGCAGCGTCATCTGTTGCCCAAGTGTCCAGGCTTGAACAAAATTCCTCACAGGGAGAAGATTGAATTCTTGAGAGAAAAGGGTGTTTGCTTTGGATGCTTGAAAGTGGGCCACATGAGTAAAGAGTGTAGAAGTCGTCTGACCTGTGATGAATGCAATCTGAAACATCCAACTATTTTGCATATCTACAATAAAGATAAGATGACCAAGACACAGGAAGTAGAAGTAAATAATGCACTGGTGTCACTTCAGGCATGTGGTTGTACTGGGGCCGGAGATCAACATTGTACTCTCTCCATCATTCCGGTACAGGTGAAATCTAAGAAAGGACACAAGGTGCTCAGGACATATGCCTTCTTGGACCCTGGAAGTACAGCAACATTTTGTACCAACAGTTTATTGAAGAAGTTAAATCTGCAGGGTAAAAGGACCAATATTCTACTACGCACCATGGGCCAAGAGAAGGTTGTTGAAAGTCAAGTTGTTTCAGGTCTAGAGGTGTCCAAATTGGGTGGCAGCCAGTTCTTGGACCTCCCGGAGGTGTACACACAGGACGCAATTCCAGTGTCAAAGAGTAACATTCCTATCCAGCAAGACCTTGAGAAATGGGAATATTTGAGAGGTGTTAAAATTCCAGAATTGGATGCAGATGTTGAAATCTTGATTGGGACCAATGCACCAAAATTGATGGAGCCCTGGGAAATTGTTAACAGCGAAGGTGGTG